TGATTTAGAGGAGGTTCGGGGTCCTCCCCGCACCCAGGCACAGGGCTGGGTGCTTCTGGCGCTGCTGGGGCTGTGCTGTGAGGGGGTGGCTTGGGAAGAGCCCTGCCGGGAGTTAATTGCTGTCACATGAAGGGAAGGCCTGGCCGGAGTTCTGCCTCGGCCAGAGCCTTCCTGCAGTCCCCACCACCCCCGGGCGCTGGCGTGGTAGACCGGGTGCTGTGGGAAGCCTGGCTATCCTGTGCCACTGGGGTCTGGGGATGGAGGGATTGTGCTGCTCAGCCCTGGGCTGCGGGCAGGGACATGAGCTGTATGCTGTGCCCCCCCGGACGCAGGTTAACAACACGCTGGACACGACCCCTGCCAAGGTGCAAGAGCAGTCCCGGGATGTGGTGACAAGTAAGCAGGGCTTTGTGCCCCATGTGCCGAATTCTCCCTCTCCCAGGGCTCCCTCCTCCCTTCTGACCCCGTCCCTGCCTGGAGACCTCCCCTGCTGCCACCCTTCTGCCTACAGCCCCGGCTGTCCCCAGGTGCCATCATGCTGATGCCATCCTTGGCCACGACTGCCCCTTTCCCATCCTCTCTGGGTCCCCGCTGCCCCAGGCTCGCCTGCCCCAGACAAGCAGGACCTGGGCAGCAGTTCGCAGCACCAACCTGAACCCATCCCCTGCAGAGACCCAGGACCAGCTGGGCCTCATGAGGGAGAAGATCAGGAGCTTGCAGGAGCAGTTGCCGCTCCTGGACGTGGAGGAGAGCGTCGGGGCCTTCGTGGACAACACCACGTCGGTGCTGGAGGAGTACAGGGAGCCGATCATCTCCTTGGATGGGCTCAGGTAGGCGAGGGGCTGCTGCATCCCCTGGCTCCCTTGTCCAGAGAGGCTCAGGCTCTCGATCCTCCAGTTGCTGGAGGTGAGGGCTTGCTTGGTGGTGGGGCTGCAGGTGCAGGGTAGCCAGAGCTGTGCCTTGCAGCCACCCGTGCCCCTGCCCTGCCAGGGTGCCTGGGGGCTTTTTCCTCCGCCCGAAGGCAGCTGGTGGGGCTGAGCACTCTGCTCAGGGTGCCAGGTCCTGCTGTCTGACTG